AGCCGGAGCCGCACCCGCCGCGGACGGAGCCCATGCGCGGGCCCAGTTGGCGCCCGTCCGCGCCCCCGCCCCACCCCGGCCCCGGGGGCAGTCGCGCCAGCCAGCGGTGAGTTACTGGCTTGGGGGCGGGCGCGGGGCTCAGGTGAGCGGGCTTCTCTAGTCGGTGCGAACTGGCGCAGTGCCTGCCGGCCGGCCCCGCCTATGGCCGCGCAGGGCGAGGCATAGCCTGCCTGAGCCTCGGAGACGGTGCGCCCCGCGGCCATCTCCCTCTGGCCTGGGGCCGCAAGGACACCCGCGCGGGGCCTGGACTGGGCCTTGTGCTCCGCGGCTACCCCTCGCGCCCCCTGTGGGTCTTTCCCGCAGTCACCTGCTCCTCGGATCCTCCGCCTCTTTTTTTTTTCCTGCTGGCCTCTGGTGGAAGGACCTCGGCAGAGGGCAGGGTTCCTCTCCTGCCGCCCTGCCCCCGCCGCCGGGACAGCGCCTTCATGCAGTAGGCGCTCAGTAAATACTTGTCGGATGCACCAACATGCCGGCGGGCCGGAGCCGGCTGTAGGCTGGTATTGGCCTGCCTGGGCACGCCGAGGCCGCCGTGGCAGGACCTGTTTTGAGGGGGGTGGCCTCAGCCCTCAGGCGCCTCCACTTGCGGCTTTCTGCCTACCTAGCGACTTCTAATTTGGGTGCGTGGTTGGGAGAAGCGCTCAGCTGTCAGTCCTGCCTTGGGAGCCGCTCCCTACTTCCTGATATGGCCATCAAATGCGGTTGGGGGAAGTGGGGGTCCTCCCAGTCCCAGCCGGAGGTGCCACAGGGGAGGGACTGGGGCACTGGCTTTACACGTTGGCTGCTGGAGGACACCTGTGTGTCAGACACTGCTTAGCAATCTCTTGTGGCCTGGTCTTGGCTAAGTGTGGTTCTTCTTGGCAGGTGGGGCAGGAGCTCCTGGAGTGGGAGCCCCTGTAGAAGCAATGACAGAATACAAGCTTGTAGTGGTGGGCGCTGGAGGTGTGGGGAAGAGTGCCTTGACCATCCAGCTGATCCAGAACCACTTTGTGGATGAGTATGATCCCACCATAGAGGTGAGCCCTGGTGGCCGTGGCTCACACCTGATCCTGAGTCTTGGCACCAGATGCATGAGAGAGGTGTGAGGGTGGGCTGGCTCTGTGAACTTTGGGTCTGAGGAGAGATGGGACCCCTGAGCTATGTTTTCCTGCAGGACTCTTACCGGAAACAGGTAGTTATTGATGGGGAGACATGTCTACTGGACATCTTGGACACAGCAGGCCAAGAGGAGTATAGTGCCATGCGGGACCAGTACATGCGCACAGGGGAGGGCTTCCTCTGTGTGTTTGCCATCAACAATACCAAGTCCTTTGAAGACATCCATCAGTACAGGTGAGCTACCTATATGGCTAGCTCATGAGCCCATGGCACAGGTAGGGAAGGAAGGTTCCATGTCCAGACTGAGGCTTTGTGTCCTCACCATGCGTGTCCTGGATACAGCCATGCCTGCGGCTTGCTAGCTGGCTCACATACTCCCCATCCTTCCCAGGGAGCAGATCAAGCGGGTGAAGGACTCGGACGATGTGCCAATGGTGCTGGTGGGGAACAAGTGTGACCTGGCTGCTCGTACTGTCGAGTCTCGGCAGGCCCAGGACCTTGCCCGCAGCTACGGCATCCCCTACATTGAAACATCAGCCAAGACCCGGCAGGTGAGCTGGTTCTCCATCCCACAGCTAGTCAGGGACTCACCCCACCCCAGCCAGGGAGCAGCGCTCATCGCCCCTCTCCCTCAACACAGGGCAGCCGCTCTGGCTCTGGCTCCAGCTCCGGGACCCTCTGGGACCCCTTCCCCGGGACCCATGTGACCCAGCGGCCCCCACGCTGTAAGTCTCCCAGACGGCAGGGTAGTGAGGGAGGTGAGGGCCAGGGTCTGGGCTCATGCCCTGCAGTCCTGGGTTGACACACCTCCAGGGCAGGAGGGGGTCCATGGAGAGAGCTGCCCTGAGCCAGGCCAGAGCGGTGACCCTGGGGCCTAGTCCCTCCTGTCCCCAGAGTGTCCCATGGGTACCTGTTCTAAACCCTTAAGAGTTTGGTTAGGTCTGGGTGTGGTGACACACGCCTTTAATCCCAGCACTTGGGAGGCAGAGGCAGGTGAATCTCTGTGAGTTCGAGCCTGTTCTCCGTTATTGAATCCAGGCCAGCTGCGACTACAGGGAGACCTTGTCTTAAAAAAGACTTAAAAAAAAAAAAAAAGAGTTTGGTTAGGGTGTTCATGCCTGAGCCATACTGGGAGTCTGGGAAAGCTTGGGTGGCTCTGACTTCACAGATGAGCCTGCTTAAGGAGAATGGTCCTGTGCCTTTTAGGCCTAGCTCCCCACTTATGTGGGTCGGTGGGCTGAGGGAGAGAGCCTGCAGGGCAGGAAGTTCCTTACTGAAACAGCCCCTAGCTGGGTTCCCTCTGATCCAGTTCTTCTGTCCTCAGGGTGTGGAGGATGCCTTCTACACGCTAGTGCGTGAGATTCGGCAGCATAAATTACGGAAGCTGAACCCACCAGATGAGAGTGGCCCTGGCTGCATGAGCTGCAAATGTGTGCTATCCTGACGCCAGGTGAGGCAGGGGCCAGCAGGCACCTGGGGCAGCGGCACCAGCTGGCTGGATGAACCTCCATATCCGCTTGATGTCCCTGGGCCCCCTGATCCTGCCAGTCCCCCTGCCTGTGATCAGTGGTGTCCTTTGTGTCCGCCTCGGCTCAGGCTCAGGACGTGGAGGTGCCGGATGCAGGGAGGAGGTACAGACGGAAGGAAGGAAAGAGGAGGGAAGGAAGGAAGCGATGCTGGAGCCCAGCCAGCCCAGGGATGGTGGACAGAGGTGAACAAGACCTTCGCATGGACAATTTGAACAGACTGTCATGAACTATCCCTATTTCCACTGGCACCCCAGTCCTCAACTTCTCCCAGCTCCCTCTGGGGCCCCTGTTGGGCAGATTGAATCACAGTAAATTATTTGATGGGGTTGACTTGTGTCTGGCTGGGGTTAGGGGGTCTCATGCCTGGGGCCTCACAGAAGTTGCAGGGAACCTGGGGTCCACTGGGTGTCCGCTTTGCTGCTGTCTAGGGAAGGCTGCAGAGGCTGGTCTCAGTCCACGGGCCATGTCCCCTTTCCTTCTGCCTACCCCAGCTGTCTTGTGTTTCCTGTAGAAAGCTATAAGCCCTACAAGAATAGGCAGGTGATACTAAAAGGAACCTATTGTCCTTCAAATAATGGAATGGGGGAGGGGACTGGGGAGGAGGAGACATCCCCTGTCTCCAACAGGAAACACATTTCCTATATTCTGGGATCTCTGAAATATCACCCTAAGGACTGCAGAGTACAGGACCTGCCCTGCCCCAGCATCCTGTAGCCTGCTGACCTATGCTAGGGATTCTAGGACTCTGGAAATAGGGCCCTAATGTGGGCTATGTAGCTTCAGGCCTCTGCCCATTGGTGCCCAGGTGGCTGCTCAGCTCAGAGCCTAGCTATCCCAACGCTCTGAGAGAGTAGAAGCTGTCTTACCTGTTGCTGCCACCTCTCTGAGGTGTACAGTTATTCTCAAAGCCACCTAAGGTCACCAGAATATCTTGAGGGGCACATGCAGGCCAGGTAGCTGCTCACTGCTCCCAGATGGCTTGTCCTGCCCAAGACTACATTCCAGGACTGGTCATGGTCACAGGAGATTTCATTCCCTCATCTTGTTCTTCATCCTGGCTGCAGGGGCCCATGGTGGGTGCCCCTTCCCTTTCAAGGCTTGGGTAGAATTCAGTGAACTTCTCTGGTCCAGAGTGTATATAATGTAAGAGGCTCCCATGGGCATGAGGATGTGGAGCCTGCTGCTGGGTGACTGGGCAGTGAGATACCACATCTCTCCCACACACCAGCTAAATGTCCAGCTTCCCCTTTCCACATGCATGTGAGACTCCTGAAGTGCCTCTCTGGGGGTGCACTGGCTCCTTTAGGGTTGTGCCAGTTAAAAACATTTGGAGGCAGGAGCTGCTATACCATGGGGACAGGGTTAGTGGGGCCAAGACATGACCCTTTTGGGAAAGGATCTCAAGCTGGAGCCCATGTGGGAAGTAGGTCACATCTTATCCTTCACTGCTCCACTATGGAGACCTGAAGGTGCCTTAGCAGTGTGTGGTCCTCCAGGGTCCAGCCTGAAACAACATGACCTACAGAAAGGTTTCTGGAGGCTTTCAAGGGTACAGAGGTGGGCACTGGACTGGGCCCTGGGAAAAGTCATTGCTCACACTCTGCTTATTCCCAGGACCCTCCTGCTGCATCTTTTTGTGTCCATCCTTTGGGTCTTGTGGAGTACATAAAGCCATAGCCAAAAAGATACCCTGCCAGGGAAGCACCTCCAACTCCTTTCTCATCCGCGTGGAATAGGGGTGGACTTAGTGCTTGGGATAATACCTAGTGCCCTGCCTGGCTGTCCTAGTTTGTTTTTCCATTGCTGTGACAAAATACTCTGACCAATACCAATTTGGGGAGGAAAGGGTTTATTTTATCTTATATCTCCCAGGTCATAGTTCATCAGGGAGCCCAAGGTAGGAACTCAGGGCAGGAACCTGGAGGCAGGAGCTGGAGCACAGACCATGGAGGAACGCTGCTTACTGGCTTGCTCCCTGGCCCCTGCTCAGCCTGCTTTCTTATGCAACACAGGCCCACCTGCCCAGGGGTGGCACCATCCACAGTGGGCTGGGCCCACCCACCCACATCACTCAACAATCAAGAACCCACATCACTCAACAATCAAGAAGATGCCCCACAGACATGGCCACAGGCCAGTCCTATGGAGGCAATTCCCCATTGAGGCTCCCTCAACCCAGGTGTGTCAAGTTGACACTAAAGCTATCTGGCCTGGCCTACCCTTCATGGCTGGCTTATTCAGGACTGGAGAGGTAGAGACCTGGTGTATCTCGGCTAGCCAGGGTCTGTTCTACAGGTACCTAGGTACCTGACGCATGACTTCTCTGTACTTTGAGGGCTTTTTGCCATGGCCATGGCCAGTTTCATCCCTCAGGATGTAGATGTCCCAGGGCTTCAGGGGAACTTGAGGGGGGTCTACAGAGACAGCAGGCATGGGAGCACCTCACCTGTTCAATCTGGGCCCTCTGTAGAGAGGTGACCAAATGAGACTGTCAGATAACATTGCAGCTGATCAGGGATGGACTTAGGGGGTGCAGCTCTGGGAGAAAGTGCTTGCAAAGACTCATAGCAGAGGCAGGAGGACTGGAGGGTCCTTCTTAGGTAGGACCTAGCCTATCTGTTGGATACAGTCCTCCTGGGCCTCCTTGCAGGGATGAGGGAGGCTTCTGGGATGGTCACATCCCTGGGCTGGGCAGCTGACACTGTAGGGCAAGGAAGAGCCCTGCCTGTCTTCAATTCTGAAACATTGGAGGAGCCCTTGACAGTGGATGTCCCCTCACTGTCCTGATGGAGGAACAGAGTTGCTCAAAGCCTCCCACCCCCCACATTGGCCTTCAAACCTCTGTATTCGAGACCCCTGTACAGGAACAACCCTGACTGGGGCTCAGTCCCTTCCTGCTCTCCCCATCCTGTGCCTCTGGGGAGGAGGCAGTTCCCTTCACTCATGTGTGCTCCTTTATCTCATGTTTATAATGGACGGGGAGCCAAAGGAGGGAGGTTGATACCTCATTTGTAGACTCCTGAGAGTCCACAGTCCTCAACAAATAGTAAACCTGCTCCTAGAGAAGTGGAACTACAGTCTGAGGACAGTGGCAGGTATCTCAGGTACCAGAGGTTTCCTCCTCCCACTCTGAGTCCCCAGCATGAGAGAGAGGAGGAGCACCTGTACCAGCCCTGGCTGGACTTGGTGCCCTACTATGTCCTGGGCCTGGTTCCTAAAGGGTGGGGCTGTCTTTGAGACAGAAGAAGGACCATGGTGCATGGGGTTTAAGGAGCCAGTTTGGTGCCCATGCAGCTGGAGGGGGTATACAAGTGTGTGGCTGACTCTGGCTCAGGATCAGAAGGGGGGACATGGATAGGTTGATGCTGTCACCTGGCCATAGATGATAAGGGTAGCTGCAGAAGGACCAGCAGGAATGTGTCACCTGGGTTTGCACAAAGAAGTCTTAGCTGATAGGGACATGAAGTGATCCTTTGACAGTTCTGGAGTTGTGGGGGCCCTCTGCAGCAGCCAGTCCGATAGCTCAGAACAAGTAGGGGAAGGAGGGTGCTGTGGCTGTAAGTTGCCATCACCAACCAGTGTAACTGTCACCCAGCCTAGCTGTTTGAGGTTCATGAGAAGCTGTCTACTTAGCTTGCATAGCAGCCCTTTATTAATGGGTCAGCAGCTGGGCCAGTGTTTAGAAGGCTCTTCATTGTTAAGGACCATTTTCAGGATGGTGGCAATCTGGCCAAAGCCCAGGCAGTGGTCTCTGCTTTCAGGAGTCAAAGTCACCTTGGGAGTGATCACCCAAGAGGGCTGAGATTCCCTGGGAGGCTGCCAAAAGTTCCTGGGAACTTGAATGTGCAGCCTTTGCACCTTTCCCCAACATCAGAGCTCTGGCCAAAGGACAAGGGAACCCTGCTGTAGAGAGCCTCTGGGACTAGTGGCCTGGGAAGTGGACTGGGGCAGGGAGCAGCGCCTTGAGAACTGCCTGCTGGTTTCATTTCTTTCTTTTTTTTGGTGGGGGGATCTTTTTGAGACAGGGTCTTCCTGTAGCCCTAGCTGGCCTGGATTCACTATGTAGACCAGGCTGGCCTTGAACTCACAGAGATCCTCCTGCCTCTGCCTCTGGAGCGCTGGGATTAAAGGTGTGTACCACCATGCCCAGCCTTGGTCTCATTTCTTAAGGGGTTCGAGCACATGGAAACCACTGTTCCTGCTAAGTTTGAATGGTGACATGGCACCTTTGAGCCCCAGACTTGTCTGAGGACCAGCAATGTCCACGGAGTGCTTCAGTAGCCTGCTCTGTGCTTCTGGGCAACATGCTGCAGCATTGCCAAACTTATGGGATTCTGGGGTAGCCCCAGGAGACTGTCAGGTCCAGGGGAGACCAGAAACTGGGACCCCACCACTTTCCATCCCTGTGTTAGATAAGAGGCCCCAACTGCTTGCTGCACCTCAGTGATCACAGTGAGTCCTCAGTGCCATGTCCTATCAAGACCTACAGAGTGACATGGAACTGGCCTGAGGGTGAAGATGCAGGGCTAATCTCGGTAATAAATCACCTCCTGTAAGAGGAAAAGAGGTATGGCTGAGGGGAGACTAGGGAACAGACTATAAACAGGGATGCTGGTTGGACACCCACACTCATGGTCATGGTCCACAGGAGAGACACAGAAGTGAGCAAGGCTGCCGCTTAGGAGAAAAGAGGTCTGGCCATGCCTACTGGTGCCGTGACAGTTCCTGGCAGGAAAAACCCCATCTGGGTTAGGATCATGCACCAAGTGTGCAGCAAGCCTTTCAGGGCACCACTGTTTCTACACTTGGGGATAAATGTAACAATCTCAGGCATCCATTTGATGAAGTTTGATTTTCAATCCGGTTGATCTTTTGTTGTTTTTGCACATGGTTTCAGTCTTTGGAGTATATACAGTTCCACAGGTTTGAACCAGAGTATAGAGCCTTTTGAGCCATGTAGTAAGCATGTTTGACTTTCTAAGAAACCAAGGTCTAGCTGGGTGTGGCGGCACACACCTTTAATCCCAGCACTTGGGAGGCAGAGGCAGGCGGATCTCTGTGAGTTTGAGGCCAGCCTGGTCTACATAGTGAGTTCCAGGACAGCTGGGGCTACAGGGAGACTCTGTCTCAAAAGAAGAAACCAAGGATGTTCCATGGAGGAGGCCCAGTAGATGTTTGATAGAGGAGCTGTAGGCCCCTCCCCCCAGGGGGTCTGTTTCCTGGTCTCCTCCCTGTAGCACCTCTTAGAGGAGAGAGTTCATTCCCTCCTTTAGCTTGGCACCTTCATGGACAGCTCTGTGTCACTAGGTCTTTGCTTGTATGTTGAGGCC